GCATTACTTGAATTCAGCCAAAGAAATAAATAGATTTCCAAAGAGATGTCCGAAGACAATACCCCCTCATAAATGGGACTGAGCTACAACCATACTTTCAAATTATAAACTGTCGCATTATATCTTTTTTCATCTGAATAAGCTAATCTGAAGGTTTCAAAAGAGCCCATGTGTGCATAATTAATGTCTCTCCTGAAACAGGCTAGTTAGAGCACAGTGTTCAACCAGTGTTCCTGGATGGACATTTCATGTGAAATAATTTTGTACCATTTATTTATATTTTGCAACAGTGTTGTCATTAAGCAGACTGTCTCCCTTTATAAAAAACCAAACAACCCCCATAAAATCAACAATGGTGAAAATTGGCATTATGATTGCAAAGAAAGAAAGAATATGGTATGACTTTTCTTTATTTCCCCAGGGTGCACATGATGGGTTGCATCTAGGCAGCCTTTTCACTGTCCATTTCTCTTTCTTACCATAGACCTCAATATGCATAGCTTTTACACATGTAAGGCCCACAGTCCGCAGCATAACCATTTTGGCCAGTCAAAGGGAACTCAGACTCTGTTTTCTGCCCCCAACAGCCACGATCTGGCATAATGTCCCCACTATGATGATGTCACACAGAAGTGATATCATCACTCTGGGGACATCATTTTTCGACACACTGGTATTTTGTGCAACCATAGAGTTTTGCCCAAAACAGAAGGGTGGGAAAACAGAAATGTGTCTGGTCAGGATGTTTTGAGGAGATGTTATTTATGCAGGCATAAGGTGGCCAGCCCCCAGGTGGGAGTGCGGGATCCACCGATTTTGTGGGCTCCTGCCCGCCACCAACCAGCTGGCTGGTGGGGGAAAGCCCCCCCCCCAACAGCCACAATCTGGTGTGATGTCCCCGATGTGATGATGTCACACAGAAGTGATGTCATCATAACATCCCCGGTGATGCTCTGGTATTTTGGGCAAAACTCTATGATAAACATAGTGTTTTGCCCCAAATACCACATGTATTTCTCTGTCTCTGTTAGCCCAAACACCACTCGCTTTGCTGTAGGGGGATCTTTTCCTATCTCCCTGCGTGTATAACGGATTTTGTCTTTTAACACAAGGAAGAGTCAGACACAATCTCTATAATTAAAGAGTTTTATTTTAAACATGGCATCAATCAACAGTTTAAACAGTTTAGGCTTTGATCAATAGTCCTATACAGTTTGATAATCTCAGCATATTACAGTTCAATTAGCAGTTAGTCCTTGCCTATTACAATCTGGTTCTGTTGCCCCCAGACAAGCACACAGGCAGACACTGGGGCCAGGCTGCACCCAAAAAAAATATTTGAACCACCCCAAATGAAACATCCCCACGCTCTGGCGACTGTGCCCTGCAGGGCGACATGCAGTGATGCCCGGTCCAAACACCGGTTCCGATGCCACGAGCTTCAGTTCGCAGGGCTTCCCCGATGCCTGTATTTCAAAGCAGATTTGAATAAGGAAGTGACCCCTTGTTGGGCTTCTCTCTCTCTGTCTCTGTTAGCCCAAACACCACTCGCTTTGCTGTAGGGGGATCTTTTCCTATCTCCCTGCGTGTATAACGGATTTTGTCTTTTAACACAAGGAAGAGTCAGACACAATCTCTATAATTAAAGAGTTTTATTTTAAACATGGCATCAATCAACAGTTTAAACAGTTTAGGCTTTGATCAATAGTCCTATACAGTTTGATAATCTCAGCATATTACAGTTCAATTAGCAGTTAGTCCTTGCCTATTACAATCTGGTTCTAAAAGTAAAGGCATAGTTTCTTACCCCTGGTGTTAGCTTCAGGTGGAGCTGTTCCTGTCTCCCTGTGTCCCTCTGGATGGTTCTCTCTGGATGAAGACTGACTGTAGACTACCAGCTATGCACCTTTATCCTGTTTCCATTCCTTCTCCACCCCCTTCTCAACCAATCAGAAATATCTGACATCAGGGGTGTTCTCGATCAATTAGTAACTGCTACTCCCTCTTCTCAACCAATCAGAAATATCTGACATCAGGGGTGTTCTCGATCAATTAGTAACTGCTACTCCCTCTTCTCAACCAATCAGAAATATCTGACATCAGGGGTGTTCTCGATCAATTAGTAACTGCTACTCCCTCTTCTCAACCAATCAGAAATATCTGACATCAGGGGTGTTTTCGATCAATCAATTAATAACTAAGGCCTTCCCATGTGACAGTATCCTCCCCTTTGTGTCAGGTCGTCCTAATTGTCCAAACATTCTATTTACTTTCAAATATAGTTTTCCCGTCATTCATATTTGTTCTAGATGATCATTGACAGAATTCCCAAAAGTCCCCTCTATCTTGTCCCCATTTATCCAGGTTACTGTGATCTTAAACATGTGCCTTTATGTGTAACCTCAATTGATCATACTCATCTAATTTCCCGGCAATTCAGCTATCTCTAGAAAAGCTCATCCTGGGAAGTCCCTATATCTCCATTCTATGTGTACGGTGAATATATATCCTGTGTCTAAGCTTAGCTTGTCATAAAACAACTACTGGACATCTTATAATTAGATGAGAATGAAATGTTCAGTGCTAAATGAGATTAATTAATGATTAAATAAAAGTGGGCCTGCTCCACTATGCCAACTTACTCATTACACACCCCCTCCCATCTCCTGTGTCAATAGACAGTCAACAGACAGAATATTTACTCTTGACCAAAAATTGTACTTTGACATTGCAACCCCTCAGTGGCCAAACGCAAACAGAAAAAAATCGATTTCCACTGCAAATAGACAGAAATGAACCAAAGTCTGATTTGAGAGTTTTTCATCTCATGTCCTGTTAGAATCAGGCCTGTGTTTAAGCGGCTCTGACAATGGGGTCTTTGAGGGGCTTCTGCAGATGTCTACACACAGCATTGACGCGCAACATCCCCGGCATGACCTCATCACTTTGGGGATGTCATGACCGTCAACATCACCCCCACACTCCTGGAAAGCTCCCTCCCACCTCCACGTGCAAGAGCCAAGGACCTGGCAATCCCAGTGCTCCATTGAGAGCTGGCGACAGATGACAAATTCCAGTGGGGGTTTGCCTACTAAAAGAGGGCAAGTGGCAACCCTACTAAGGTTATTGGGAAATAACAGCACTACTTCTTGAGAAAGGCCTTATATTAACAGGACCTCCCTTCTCTGTGAAGATTGGCTTACCTTTCCCCTCCAGTTTCTGTGGGCCCAGGCTTGGAGGGTATCTGGGAAATGTAGGCCCAAAGGGAAAATTTACCACAAGGCCCTGGGAAAGAGGCTATTCCACTAACAAGCCTTGGACCTAGGAAAGGGAAGCCAACTTGTGGCACAGGGACCCAGAGTTAAGACATCTGATATATGTTTACATACTTTGTGGTTTGGAAATGACCTTTTGCAAAGGAAAGCATAATTGAAGGAGACAGAGCCCCAGATTGGTCCACTTCTCCACAAATTCTGTACTGATTTCAGCTGTGCATCTACCTCTATCTGCCCTTAAATCTCAAATGTTTTCAGAATGTAGCAATGGCCTTTGCCAGGGGTAATAATAATGTACAGTTCTTAATAACAGTGTCTGTCTCAGGGGTCTCAAAGCAGAAAGCTTGGAGAAATGATGGCTGAAGGGTGAGATGATTGAAGTTTATAAGATTATGCATGGGGTAGAGCAGATAGAGAAAGTGGTACTTTTCTCCCTTTCTCACAATACAAGAACTCGTGGGCACTCAATGAAATTGCTGAGCAGTCAGGTTAGAATGGATAAAAGGAAGTACTTCTTCACCCAAAGAGTGATTAACACATTGAATTCACTGCCACAGGAGATGGTGGTGGCTACAAACATGGATGGTTTCAAGAGGGAATTAGATAAACATATGGAACAGAGATCCATCAGTGGCTATTAGCCCCAAGGTATATATAGGAACTCTGGGGCGAGTGATGCTCTGTATTCTTGGTGCTTGGAGGGGCAACAGTGGGAGAGCTTCCAGTGTCCTGGCCTCACTGCTGGACCTCCTGATGGCACCTGGTATTTTTGGCCACTGTGTGACAGAGTGTTGGACTGGATGGGCCACTGGCCTGATCCAACATTGGCATCTCTTGTGTTTTTATGTTCTTAAACATTCACTGTTTCCAGTAACATAGTCCTTTCATAAAATAGCATACTGTCTAAAATTTTGGCATAAAATTTGTTTATCTGTTGGTGCAACTGCACATAACTGAAGTTTTTAAAATATGCTTTTGGTTTGCTATCGCTTTCCTCCCAAGGAGCAGGCGTCTTTTAATTTCGTGGCTGCAGTCACCGTCTGCAGTGATCTTGGATCCCAGGACTGTGAAGTCTGTCATTGCTTCCATGACTTCCCCTTCTATTTGCCAAGCAATGCTCCCTCTAAGCTGTGGAGTCTTGTGAGCAAAAATTCTACTTTTGAGCTACTGGCATTAAAGTTGTGAGCGAGCGATTTGGCTACTGCATAAATTAGTTTGCTCTGGAGCCACCCTTTTTGAGCCAAGACAAAAATGTGTGAGCTGGAGGCTTAAAAAACTGTGAGCTAGCTCACAC